TTGTTCTTTTATACTTTGAGCACGTTTTTGGTTTTAGTGTAAGGAATATTAATCAAAATTTTTATTACACTTCCGCATTTGACCTTTTTAATACACATATTTCATTTTAAATTTCGGGGCCGTTACAACTCGGGTTGTTGAATGGATTGTCCCACGTGACCAAATTTTTTTTTTTTACGATTTAACCCCTTGTTTTCAATTTTTCTTTCAAAAACATTCTCCATATTTAAAATTTCGTCCTTTTTTCTTAAAATTATTTCTAATTTCGTCCCTAATATATTTTTTTCTCAAAATTTAACAAAATTAGATTGAAATAAAATAAAATTAATTATTTATATAATTTTTATAAATAAAAAAGATTATCCCGAGCTGATTTTTGGTCCGAGTATTACATAAATTCTTTAAAAATTAGAATTACCTAAAAATGAATAGTTTAATCTTAAATTTGAATTACCTAAAATGTTTTTCCTTTTTCGGATAATTGTATTTCAAAATAAAATAACAAACTATATTAAATATATATATATATATATATTATTGTAATATTTTATTGTTATGATTCCTTTTTTGTTTTATGTAATTAATTGCATGTTATCCGTTGCCATTGAAAATTAAGCGAATTTGATTATTAATTGGCTTATTACTAATTTGGCTTAATTACTTGAGCTAGTCCTTTTGATTCGTTAGTCGTTCAAGAAAAATCCTGCAATAAGAATTTCTGCTGATATAATAGTGTTAATATTTGATTTGTATTTAATTGTAGACTTATAATAAATTACTAACTCAAGTTATAAATACTGATTTAATAAGAAGAATCAAGAACTCTACAATTTTAATTTTACAATAATTCTTATTTTTGTGTTACGATTTGAATTTAACTTTTTAATATATAAATTATTCATTTGTTACTCTCAAATTTTACTTCAAGAAAAAATTATACGAAGAATCAGAAAAGTTTCTTCATAAGGTATTTTTAGAGTCTCACCTTTTGATTTTCTACATTATTATCTTTAAAAGCATAATGGTTATATAGGATTTTTTATTTTTTATTTTTTTATAATTGAATGAGATGAATTTACTTATTTCTTATATTTAAGTTAACCTTTCTAATTTATGATCTTTATTATTAGTTATATAGCATATTTTTTTATGCCAATAAAATTGATGAAAAAAAAAAATTGTAATACATATTATTAGTGATATAGCATATTGGTATATAGAGATTTGATGCTTGCGTTTTAAGTACTTGTATCCTTACTTTCTTAATACATCTTCCAACCTCAATCAATCGTATATCACAGTTGCCTTGAGGCACAACCTAATCTCTTTTCTCACTCTGTTTTAACTAGTAATTAAAACAAACTCAAACTCAAAATTCAGTCACTTTTTTGTATTTTAATTATTTTTAAAATATAATATTATTATTTTTATCAAACATTTGTGAATCTAATTACATAATTTTATAATAATAATAATAAACTTTTTGTCCGTCAATTCCTTTGTCCTTCATTATTTGAAACTAAGAAAGATATTTTTCAAATTTAAATTTATTCGTTTAAACTCTGAGTCACAATAAATTCGCAACAAATATTTTATCTTATTCCATATTACTTTTACTGTAGTACTCTGATATCTTGTCCGGCATCATCAAATTTGGGTGTACATTTCCTGAGTCATTATGTTCTATTTGATCAACTTCCAAAGTGGCCAAACCGGTATCTACTACAATCTTACTCAAATTCAATGCTCAGAAAAAAAAAAAAAAAATACAAAAACTAGAAATAGTAGGTAATACAAACTTAGGCTGTGAATAGTAAAGGTATGTACATATAACACAAACGCATGGCTGCAGAAATCAGTCAGGATCATCAAAAGCTTCTCTGACGAACATAAGAGTTACTTTGCTCCAGAAAGCCCACATGTCCATATCTCTTTCCATGACATCCTCAATAGTTTTTGTGCCTTCCAGTTTTGGCTTCAGATTAAAGCACTTTTTACAGGCAACATTGAGAGAAAGCCCCTTGAAGCTAACATCAGCGGATCAGAAAAACATAAATCAAACATCAGTGCTAGCATCAGCGGACGGGATATCTAACAAAAAATAATTCATGCTTTTAGGGATCTGGATGCATTGCTACTAAACATTTCGCTATTACAACATGTTGAGTTTTAAACAACCATTGTGTACTAGGTTTCTCCAGTATGCATATTAGCCATGTGCATAACATCATCCAGGGCCACAATATCCGCCTAACACGTGACTACTCTAGTCTGGTCATGACTTTCAGTTAGGATGACACTCAAGAAAAGAAACAGATCTGAATTACCATAATCAAACAAGCAATTTTTATGTACTGAGCAAGCCACAAGTCAATGATTTTACCGAAAGGAGTTTCTAAAGCTTCAGTAAAAATCCTGGATTTTCCGAACGGAGAACCAAGGGTCCTCTACTTGAGTGTTTTTTACAAGTATATAAAATTTGATAATAATTCTTATTCTTGTCACTTATAAATGTAGCTTTTTGATATATAAATAATTCATTAGTTGTTCTTAAATTTTACCTTTAAAAAAAAAATAACACGAAAAACAAATATATTTGATCCTGAGATATTTTTAAAGTACAACTTATGATTTTTGTATATCATAATATTTATAAGCATAGTTGTTAAATGATGCTTTTTCTATGATCAAATATGTTGAATGTACTCTATTCTTATATTTAAGTAAACAATTATATCATAATTCGTGCTCTTTATTATCGTTGACATATCATCAAATAAAAATCAAATTTTAAAATAATCATAAATCTTGTTTTATTGGCTTTCTGACTCGCCAAAGACAATTAACTGTTGCACAATAATATCCACTTTTAGGTGGTTTTCAAATAAGTTAGTAAATTTTCTAAATATATAAAATTTAACAGATAAATCTAATAGTAATTCTTATTATTAAAAATTACATGTAAAAAGACTAACGATTATCTAAAATTTCAGAACCTCCTCCATAAAGGTTCAAAGCTACAAATAGCCACACTTTTCTCTTACATCTCAACTTTGTTGCAGGAAAATGGCGATGGAGAAAAAGGTGTTGAATATGGTTGTGCTGCTAGTATTGAATTTTCTAATATTGAGTGTTCAGGCCGTGCGAGAGACGCCTTATATCTCAGCTGTCGGGGGCCTAGGAATGAAAAGAGATCGGTTGAGAGTGGCGTTTGAAGCTTGGAACCAATGCAATGAAGTTGGTGAAGAAGCTCCTGGTATGGGCAGTCCAAGAGCTGCAGATTGCTTTGATCTCTGGACTAAGCAAAACCCAACAAAAAAAGGTTCTTGCTTTATATTTTTAACCTTTTAATTCATTCATTCTTTTATTTTTTATGTATTAACTTTTTCATGAATGATAGAATACTTTTTGAAACACAAGCTATCGGAGAAAGATAACAGGCTTGGGGTGGATATGCCATTCCCTGGTGTTGGTTCAGCAGTGAACAACACAGACCTGTACACAGAAAAAAAAAAGAACTATACCTGGGCTCGTTGTGTGAAGTTTGAGATTTTCCAAAACCATGGAATTTTTGGATGGTTATGCTTAAAAACGGAAACTATGACACAGAATCTGGGTTGTGTCCAGAGAATGGTAAAAAGACAGGACCATTTAAGCCAGGTAGGTTTCCTTGTTTTGGAAAGGGGTGTATGAATCAACCCATTTTGAATCATCAGCAAACAGAGTTGTTGAGTGATGGTACAATGAGAGGATGGCTTAATGGAAGTTATGAATTGGACGCTAAAATTGGAGATGAGTTTAATAATATCTCATTTTATCAAGTAATTTGGGAAAAGAAAATTGGAACTGGGGGTTGGGTGTTTAAGCATAAGCTTAAAACTTCAGCAAAATATCTTTGGTTGATGTTATACCTTAGAGCTGATGCAACTAGAGGATTTTTTGGAGGATACCATTATATGACACGGGGAATGCTCAAAACTGTAAGTAATTTTTTTATTTATTTATTTTTAATTTTCTGCTTTTGAATTTTTGGTTGAATATTGGCTTTTACTATTGGTTTTCGATTATGTTTCTTCAGCTTCCAGAGTCACCCAATTTCAGAGTATAGATTGACTTTGGATATCAAACATGGGGGAGGACCCAAGAGCCAATTCTACTTGCTAGATATGGGCAGCTGTTGGAAGAACAATGGAGCTCCCTGTGATGGAGATGTACTCACAGATGTAACCAGGTATAGTGAGATGATCATCAATCCAGCTGTTCAAGCTTGGTGCAGCCCAAAAGTCTTGCAAAACTGCCCACCACACCATATTACTCCAGACAACAGAAAGATTCACAGAAATGATACAAAAAACTTCCCTCATGGAGCTTATCATTATTATTGTGCTCCTGAAAATGCAAAATATTTAGAGCAACCCGTAAGCACTTGTGATCCTTACAGTAATCCTCAGGGACAAGAGATAGTTCAGTTGCTACCTCACCCAATATGGGCTGAATATGGCTACCCAACCAAAAAAGGGGATGGTTGGGTTGGTGATCCAAGGACTTGGGAGCTTGATGTTGGTGGTTTAGCCAGTAGACTCCACTTTTATCAGGTTTGAACATTTTACTCTCTTTTTGTTGTAAAACTAAATCTAAATGCTGATTTTTTATTGCTTTTGTATTGTTTCAGGATCCAGGTACCCCTCCTGCTAGAAGAATTTGGACATCCATTGATTCGGGTACTGAAATTTTTGAGTGATCAAGAGGAAATTGCAGAGTGGACTCTTTCAGACTTTGATGTTATACTAACATAATCTCCCTGTCCCACTTTCTCTTTATTTTTATTTTTATTTTATTTTTTGGTTCATGTTTTATAGTGCCTAGGGAGCTAAGGTATTCACTTCTAGCAAGAAGATCTTATCTTCAAAATTTTAGTACAAATTCATCTCCATGTACTATGAACTGGAAAGATAAACAGAATATTTACTTTATTTTTTAATTAGGTATATTTTCCTTTCTTTTATCTGAATGCAAATAGAACTTACAAGTTTTTCTAAATCCATTATTAGATTCTTTGACTTTCTTTGATTATAAAATAAATTTGATTTGAAATTTATCTTCCCACCAAACTTCTTATTGGAGTGTTGTTTAATTACCATGTTGATCAAGGTGAAATGTCGCAAACCACAATCACTTGAATTTCACATGCCACCTAATATTTACCAAAGAAGCAAGAATCATTTCATAAGCTCTTGAAGCATTTGTTTTGATCTAATTACCCTATTTACTTCATTTTTGCCTTTCTCTCAAAGCAATAAACATCCAATGAGGGAAAAAACATGTTTACTATTTTCATTTTTGGGTTTCTTCAAATTATTATTAGAAAGTCAATTGAAGTAAAAAGTCAAGAGAGAACTGAAGCTCATTAGCTATAGCACCAAAAAAAAAAAAATGTTTTATTTTAAAAAAGTAGTGGTCTTGGAAGCTAGCCACCATTGCCATACATAAGAGGAGAGAGTAAAACATGTATAAAACAAAAAGTTGAAACCTAACTTTCTTGGAGTTGGAGTATACGTTCCAGTTCCCTGGCATTTTACTAGAAAATTTTATCTACTACGAATTAGGGATTGATTACCTTTGCAAACTAAATTTACCATAGGGATCTAATGATAAAATTACCTAAACCACAAGCGATGTTCATGCACTTGAGCAGCAATGAATCCCCCACCTCATGAGCTGCCACCGTCTCTTGAAGTCAATCAATTTACGTTCAATTGGAGAATCAAGCTGTAATCACAGTCAAATTCAAGATCACATAATCAGTTTCTAATGATAATATGAATTGATCAAAGCAAAGTTCAATTTATGTTCAATTGAAGCAGCAAACTGAAGAGGCTATCAAATGCTAGGCAGAGAGCTCTTGTTCTATCTGGGCTGCAGCTAATGATGCAAAATATGAACTGATCAGCATCAATGCGAAACGCATCAACTTAATCATAATCCCCAAAAGAATGACACTAGAACTTCAACATATCTTCTGTTTCATTACTTCTTGACAACAGAACTACCATGTCCAGTACTTGTTGCAGAAGAGAAAGAACCAGAAATTGACATTCAAAGGCTATGTTTAGGTGAAAATATTTCATGAATTGATAAAAATTGATTTCATCTATGTTTATCATTTCCTAGTAGAATTTGCATCATCTACTAGTTAAACTAAATTTGATTTGCAGATAAATTCCATAAGTTTCTAGATTTGTTCCAATCAAACCATAATCTTTTCTTTTGTAATCACAAGAATACATGTGAAAGGAGGGATTTCCCAGTTTTATCACGAGAATTTACTGTAGAAATTCGAGAAGTTTGATTCACTGTTGGAGATCAATCAAATAGTTTTATGCAAAAATGGAAGAATGTAAGAGAGGAAGATGTGCCCATTTCATAATACTGAATGATGTTTGAATACCATTATTGGTTCGTTTAGTTATATTACTACTAAATTTTTACTTTATTTCTTTGCTCAACTTATGATTTTGATATATAGAATTGAATAATTGATTTTAAGTTTGAATTATTTCTACCAAGCGGGAATTGGAAATTAGTTCAGCAATTAAAATGAAAAAGAATAGGGAAGGAGTGAATGATAATTTATCAGAAACACATTATAATCCATATAGGATCAAAGATGTCCAAGAACAGGAAGCCAGATGAGCAAATAAATTCTTGGTTGATCTTTTTTGTTTTCCATGGCATATACGGTGTAAACTGAAAATAACCCAGAACAGAATTGACTTAATAAAAAACAAACAAGGAGGTAGGACGAAAGATTGAAGAAGAGACAGAAGAGAGAAATGAAATCAATGTACCTGTTGTCTTCATTAGTCCAGTATAGAGATTGATCATAGTCTCGTTCAACTTGAAAACCTTCTCCACCAAGTTTATGGTCAAGTTTACCAGATTCTATGAACTGAAAAGCCTCCAAAAGAATCACATAATGTTTTGGCACATCCTCCTTACTCTTCTCTCCACCAACCATGCCAGCCAGCACCTCCCATTGATGTGGTGCTGGTTCATCCACCACTGTTAAAGCCAGTTCAAATAGCTGGTTCTCTTCCCAACTCCACCCGCAAGATACGTTCGGAAAGCTATCCATGTCGCTTAACCAGAGGTTTGATAGAGAAATTGTCAATAAATTTGAATTTACATTGGTTGGAAGGAGAGAGACGAGAATCTTTTCAGATTCCTAGCCAGATTCTCTCGACCAGATTCTAGCACCCTTCTTGTTTAGGAGATGTCAGATATACATCTGTTAAAACATATGATCTCCCAATTAATGAGCAGGAAATCTCTCTTTCTAATTCTAACTGTCTTCTTTATTATAAGGGATGTTTGGGTGACAGATCAGATCTGAGTCTAACCACACCAATAACAAATTTTTTTTTCCTCCAAAAAAATTTCAGAACAGGAAATAAATCATAAAAAATAGAAAAAACCCAAATACTTCAGCAATTTCTTTCTTGCAAGACCTAGAATCCATTTCCTTCCCAATTATAGTGTTGGATTTAAAGAGGACATACCTCAAACATGTAATTCAAGTCAATCTTAGAGATCATAAGACCATTAATAGAAAAAGAAAGAGATATTTCACCTTAAGCCAATTAATTTTATATATTTTTTACCTTGAAAGTGAAGAAAAGAGACTTCTGTGGCCAGGATTGAATATTACTTGATTTTTCTAAATTATCAATCAACTACAGTTCACAGCTTGGTCATTTTCAATGACTTCTTTTTATGGTTAAGAAGTAGAAAGGCTTGGAAGCAACACAATGTTTTTTCTTTAACTCTTAAAAAGATGAATAATAATTATCCTAACCAGATGTCTTTGCAGTTGGTAGGGAAATTTGAAAAACTTATCCTAACCCACTCTTTCTCCATGTTCCTTGCAGTAAGGTATAGCTTTTATATTTGGATATACTGACCTGTCTCCTTCAATTCGGACGCTAATGAACCTAGAGGGATTTGCATTGTATCTTTTATCTTCCATTGTGGGCGTGTATATAATATATATATATATATGTTGTGATTAAATATATACATATATATATGTTGTCATTAAATATATATATATATATATGTTGTCATTAAATATATATATATATATGTTGTCATTAAATATGCATGGCCCATGTAGATATATTTTATATATAAAAGAAATAAAAAATAAAGAGAGTACTTGAAAATATCTCCCTTAACTTATAAACCCACTATCTTTTTCTTAAATCCATTCTTCTCTGCATAAAAACGGTCTTAAAAGAACATAAAGCAGGCCCCTAACTCCACACCAAACTTGAAGCAAGCAAAAATTCTTGGAAATGACAATTTCTTCCAATCACCCTACCTAATCATAATCGATGACTTCAGCATCAACTTTTTGAGGCGACTAACAATGATTTTGTCAACTCATTCTCTTTAATTTTCTTTTAGAAAAATTATGCATCAAACCTATTACTCAGATAAAATGCTCTATGATTTTGTATGGAAGTCACCATACCTGCTCTGATCAAAAGTTTTGATTAGGTTATGTGAACTCCAAACCTTTCCATTTCATATTGCTTTGCCCACAGCACTTTAAGAACTTTTAGCTTTGTTATGTGGAAGAACCTGTACAGGAAACAAAAATCAAGAGGTCAAAAGCCAAAAGGGTATGTACCGTCCAATAAGGCATGTATATTGCAATCGAATGCTTGCTTACCTTTCATATTAATGTGACAATAAGGCATATATATTACAATAGAATGCTTGCTCACCTTGCATATTAATGCGACAATAAGGCATATATATATTCCAATAAAATGCTTGGGCACCACTTATATTAATGCAACAATAATGCACACCACGACACAAATGAGTGCAAAGATTGATTCCCCTTAACTACACAGAGCTGTCTCACATAATTACACCAAGCAGAAATGCAGATATTCATCCGTGATTTAAAAGGAACCAGACAATATACCTATTGCTTGTTGTGTATCAACATAGAAAAGAGTGCCGAAAAAAGCACCTAATTTTCAAATCAAATAGAAAAATTAGCAACTTATAACCTGTTTGTTTCAATTGTTACTGAACTCCTTTAATTATGTTAATAGAATATTGACTTCCTTTACTTAATTACTACGATATTCTTGACAGTTAATATTAGGTCATATTTTTCGTATTTGAATCAATGTCTTTCCTAACTTGAATTCCTCGACGATGGGTTTCTAATAAATACAGCAAAAACAAATCAATGCGGGAATTGAATGATTCAAACATTAAGATTATTATAAAATTCTATTTATCAAGCATATTCTCGTAAATAAGTAAAAGACTATTGCAGGAATTGACCAAGCAGGCCATTAGCATTAAAGCATTTACAATCTAGAATTCATCTCTCTGAATGATTCACATAACAGGCAAAATAGTTTTATTTCAAAAAGAAAAAAAAGAGAACAGACACAATTATATATGAAAAAGTAAAATGAGAACAGGATTTTTATTTTTATATTTTTTGATAAACTTGAAGCAAAAAACAGAGACTGTTATGAGCTAAAGCAGAGTGAATGAATCTTAAACTTTATTCAATAGGCTGGAATCTCACACCTTGCATTCAGTAGCTGAACTCTTTAAATAGAGCTTTTCTAACAGTAAAAACCATTAACATAGGATAACAGCCCACTAACTCCTATTGTTACTCAAATATCTTAACAAACCCAAAAAGTCTGCACCTTTTAGGCAATAAATTACTACATGTGCTTAAAACTAGGACAACTGAAATAAGAAAAACATAAATAAATAAATAATAATATTCAACAATCCCTCCCTTAAACTGAGAAATAGATTTTCAGTTTAATATATACTAGCTACTGGACACCTTTTAAGCAGCATTGTTCTTCAAAAGAGCAGACACCAAGTAAAACTCTGAACTTCACAAATGATGCCTACTTGAGGGACTTGGTGAATACATCAGCAACTTGATTTTCACTTCTGCAGTAGATAAGATCAATTACTCCATCTTTTGTGAGGTTTCTTAGAAAACGAAACTTCACATCAATATATTTACTTCTCCCATGTAGAACAGGATTTTTGGACAGTTTTATTGCTGAACTGCTGTCACAATAAATGGGAGTAGATCCTTTTTGCTGGAAATGAATTTCTTCAAGAACCTTGCACAACCAAATTGCTTGACTGGCACATGCTGTTGCTGCTACAAATTCAGCTTCTGTAGTTGATCAAAGTCACCAATTGGGCGCTTCTTGAGACCCATGAAATGTCCTGAACCTTATCATGAAAACATAACTAATGTACCTTTCTATCCATCCAAATTTTCGGCATAATCACTGTCAGTACATCCACATTAAGTCTGCCTGTTCTCCTTTCTTGTAGAATAGACCATAATTGCAGATCCCTAGCAGGTATCGGAAGATTCTTTTTGCAGCAAGAAGATGTATCTCCCTTGGACTTTCCCATGTATCTGCTGATAAGATTTACAGCATACATTATATCAGGCCTTGTGGCCGTTAAATACATCAAACTTCCCACTATTTGTTTGTAAAGAGTGCTGTCACCTCTTCTGCCTCCAGGCTCTTTAATTAGTTTCAAACCAGGCTCAGTGGGATTACTGACAGAATTACAATTCTTCATTTGAAACCTGTCCAATATCTCTTGTGTATATTTTTTCTGTGAAATAAAAATTCCACCAGCTGATTGAACAACCTCAATGCCAAGGAAATAATGCATCATTCCCATATCAGTCATATCAAATTCCACTTCCATGGACTTCTTAAAACTTTCAAACATGGAACTATCATTTCCAGTATAAATTAAATCATCCATATATAAACAAACAATGAGCATTCTTCCCTTGTCATTAATCTTTGTAAAAAGTGTATGCTCATATGGACATTTTTTAAATCCTTCCTTAGAAAAATAAGCATATATATGACTATATCAAGCTCTTGGAGCTTGTTTTAATCCATATAGTGCATTTTTTAATTTGTACACTTCATGTTCTTCAATCTTAACATAATCAGGGGGTTGATCAACAAATACTTGTTCATCCAAGTCTCCATGCAAGAAAGCCGATTTGACATCCAATTGAAAAATAGGCTATGAATTTTGAGCAGCCAATGCAATCACCAATCTGATGGTATCAAGTCATACAACTGGCGCAAATACTTCTCTATAATCCACACCGAACTCTTGTTCATCCAACTAAGCGTGTTTTGTACTTATCGACTTTGCCATTCTCATTCAATTTTGTCTTGTATATCCACTTCACACTAATTATTTTATGTCCCTTAGGAAGCTCAGTCAATTCCCACGTATTATTTGTTACAATTGCTGCAATTTCTTCATCCGTTGTCTTTCGCCACTTTGAGTCTTTAATAGCCACATCAAAAGTTAGGATCACAATCTGAAAACAAAGCAAAGTGAATAGGTGAATCTTCTAGCCGATCAATTCCAGTTACCTCATAATCTCCCATCCATGCAGGTTGTCTCCTAATACGTTGAGGTCGGTCCACTTCTTGTGTATGAGCTGAGATTGATGGTTGAGCTAGAATAGGTGGAATTAGCGATTGATCAGTCTCCATTTCTTGTTGTTTTTCTTCTTCAAAATCCACTGGAATATGTTGTTGAATTTCTTTTTTATTCCATGGCCCGGTTGTGTCTTCATCAAAAATTATATCACGGCTATTAACAATTTTCTTGGTATTAAGATTATATAGTTTATAAGTTTTGGATTGATTACTAACACCAAGAAAAATGCATTTTTCTCCTTTATGATCCAACTTCTTCCTATGCGCATCTGGAATATGGAGATACACAATACACACAAAAATTCTGAAATGGTCAACATTTGGTTTTTGTCCGCTCCATACTTCTTCCGGAGTCTTATCTTAGACAGCAAATGTAGGACTCCTGTTCAATATATGAATGCTCCAGGCAACAGCTTTAGGCCCAAATCTTTTTGGAATAACACTTGTTATCAACATACTTCGCACCATGTTGAGGATTGTTCGATTCTTTCACTCACAAACACCATTTTGTTGAGGTATGTAAGCTGTTGTAAGTTGCCTCTTGACTCCATTTTTCTCATAAAAGCTCATAAATTCTTCTCCACGAGCCAATTGTAACTTTTTCCATCTTGTCATCGTGAATTCGCATTTTGTTGACTATTGTCATCATCCGTGAAAAATAGTCTGAAACTGACTATCCAAATTTCATTCGTAGAGTTTCAAACTCAGGACGAAGTGCTTGAAAAACTGCTGCCTCTTTGCTCTTATTGATCCTTGATATTTCTTTTTCATGGAGTCCCAAATTTACTTGGAGGTTTCTTTCAAAAGAATAGTTTCTAAGATTGAGCGATTGATTGCTTGGAAAAGATAGTTCTTCGCCTTGAGATCCTTTAGCTGTTTCACTTTTAATTTAGTTCTTTGTGCATCAGTTATTATTGTGTCAACTGCTGGTTCAGAAATTCCTATAGAGACGACTTATTAGTACTCTTTGGATCTAAAGAAATTCTCCATTAGCATGCTCCAATGATCATAGTGACCATCGAAGCGAGGAGTCGCTGGTTGAACATAAGTCTCGGTTGCCATTGATTTGCTGCTGCAAAAATAAGGATATTGTTTTATCACTCTTATCTCATGTCACTTTCTTTCTTTATGTCTCAATTATTCACTCTTAAAACCAACCAGTGGCTCTGACACCATTGATAAAACTGAAGCAAAAAACAAAGACCGTTATGAGTTAAAGTAGAGTGAATGAATCTTAAACTTTATTCAAGAGGCTGGAATCTCACACCTTACATTCAGTAACTGGGCTCTTTAAATAGAGCTTTTCTAAAGGTAAAAACTATTAAAATAGGATAACAACCCACTAACTCCTATTGTTACTCAAATATCTTAACAAACCCAAAAAGTTTGCACCTTTTAGGCAATAAATTACTACATGTACTAAAGATTAAGACAACTGAAATAGGATAAATATAAATAAATAATATTCAAAATTTTTAGAGTTTAGAACAGCATTTTTAAGGACTAGCACATAAAATAACAAAATAACAAGAGAGCAGGCCATAAGCATAAACCATAAACAATAAAATATCAGACCATTAATAAGCTTTGGGGTTAGATCATTCAATATGCAAAGGAGTTCTCAGGGCAACCAAGGGAAAAGATATCCAAAAGCAGCAGCATAGCTGTCAATTATCATAATAATTATCTTCCAGTAAATGGAAACAAAAGGCAATTTATGCCTGAAAGCTGATATATTCAAGAAATGCTAGATTGCTTTAGGAGTATCTTTACCATATGTTGTGATATTTCATCTTGTATGGACACTGTCATCCCAGTGGGCAAATGTGTTATTCTAACAGCACTATTGGTGGTATTTGCATGCTGACCACCTGAACCACCGGATCTGTAAGTATCAATCCTCAAATCCTCGTTCCTTAACTGGATATCTACCTACAGAAATCATAAAAATGACTCAGTGACAGGATTTGTTTATCAATCTATTCACTTCCAGTGCTCCACTATAACATAAATGATGGAAGAACAAAAATATAGACCTAAAATTGAAATAATGTCTCTGTATGTACAAATGAGCATCTGCTGTCTGACTCTAATGACTAAACACAACTATCTGATAACCACACAACTATATGACTCTGAATGGAAAACCTGAGCTCTGTGAATCTCTGATAACTTATATGGGTCCTCCCAGCTCCTCGGATTCGTCACCCTCGTCATCTCCGGCTCCTTCCTCATCGGCCTCATCGTCACCGCCACGGTCCTCGGACCGGGTTGATTATGCGAGGAATCGGATCTACGACACGGCTAGTCATGTGAAGGATTATGCTAGAGGTTATGGCGGGCACTCGCAGGGCAAGATAAAAGAATGGTAATGGTGGTCGATCCGGTCCGGTCGAGTAGTGAACCGGTGAAAAATGGGAAGCGGGTCAATCTTTTTTTTTTTTTTTAAAGATAGTTTCTTTATAATCTTTTATTGGGAAACCTTTTCTTTATGTCTTGCATGTTAGTTGAGTTGTATGGATTTTTGTTGTTCTTTTTTTTTTTGTTTTTTTACATAAAATTATTATTTTTACCCTCCTCCTCATGTCCAACTCCTTTCCCTAAAACTCCAAAAAAAGAGTTTTTACCCGCGGTAAAACACATGGGTTGAGTTTGTCCATATTGGGGAACAATTTAAAAGATGATTTTGGTAAATTTTAGATTCTACTTTAAGAAACTTTACTACACTGTAGACTGACCCATAAGAATTACAATTAGGAGACTGATTGTAATAAAATATGATAAAATTTATAATTTTTAATCACTTTTTTTATTTAAAAATAAAGTTAGAAACCACAATAGTAAAAAGAACATTGGATGAATAATTTATATAATAATCTTTTAAACAAAATACAGATTAGGGAAAGATTTTTTTCTTTTCAGCAATACATAAAGAAAGTAGAAGTGTATATGCTAATAAAAATTTCTTTTTAGTTTTTTGCAAAGAAAATTGAAATAAATATAAACAATTTTTTCTAGGCCATTCAAGTTAGTAGACTTCTAAAGTAATAAGAAAAGTCCAACATATATAGACTAATATATTTTAAGATACACTCTAAAAAGCTCATTATGAATTAAGAGAAAACACCTATATATATGATTTTTATTATTATTCATATAGTATTTATCTAAAACTAGAATTTTAATAATTGATGGAGACTGGTAGAACAAGAAATTGTTAATTGTATTGTTTGGATTATCAAAAAACTAATTAGAAGTTAATTGCAATACATAGATGGTTGTAATTATTTTTAACATCTAATAAAAAATGAATAAAAATTATATTTTTAATAACTTTTTAGATTTAAAAATAGAGTTAGAAACCACCTCTATATATAAAAGATTGAAGAAAAAATATTGGATCATCTTATTTATTGAATGATTTATATGGTAATTTTTTAAACAAAATACAGAATACAGAAAGAAATTTTTTTTAGCAATAAAAAAAGAAAGTAGAAGTATATATATATTATAAGTCTGATAAAAAAGATATTAACTAATAATATTTTTTCATTATTTTTTCTGCAAAGAATAAATTATATTGTGGATAGAATTTTACTTTTATTTTCTTTTTTAAAAAAAAAGATAAATTATAAGAATTTATGCTGATTGCGAAGTGTTAGCATAATGCGAAAGGTAATTCTTTCTCTATCCGTTGAAGTAGATTTTATTTATTTTATTTTTTATTTTTCTAGTAAGATAGGATTTGATAGTGTTAATGTTTAATTTGGATTTAATTATAGATTTATAATAAATCACTAATTCAAGTGTTAAATATTAATTTAATATGAAGAATCATTGTGAAATAAGAAGTTTACAATTTATAAAAATTCTTATTTTTTATGTTACCTTTAAACCTAACTTTTTAGTCTATAAATTATTCATTAGTTGCTCTCATATTTTACTTCAAAAAACTTGTGCGAAAAGTTAGAAAAACTTTATCAGTGATAACTCAAAAATACTACCGAATTAATTTATTGTGTTTGATATATTTAATTTAGTTTTATATATGTTTAAAAATATATAATAAACTTAAGGATATACTTTAGAGTCAAATAGAAAAATAATGAATAAGGATGAAGAAGTTAGAATAAGTATGAATAAGTATGAAAAAAGGTGAGAACCTTCAGATGAAATGACATAATGAAAAGTGGTAATTTTTAGATGAAAGATGGTAATATTTTAAATGAAGTGGAATGTGAAAAATGGTAACCTTTTAGATGAAGTGGCATATAAAAAATTATAATATTTTAGATAAAGTGGCATGTGAAAAATAATAACTTTTTAAATGAAATGACATGATGAAAAGTGACAACTTATAGATGAAGTGGCATGACAGAATGATAACAACATTTTTCTCGTGGCTCCCCACTCTTATAAATAGAGGATGGGAGAATGGAGGAATAAACATTATGGATGAGAAAAAAATAGTGAGAAACATAAAGGTAACATAATAAGAAATACGAAGTGTGTGATTTTGTGATAGCATTATGAGATTTTTAACCTTAGAGAAACTTTGCTAAATTTGTGAGAACAAAGAAAGAGGAACAAAGGAGGAAGAAGGCTCACGGTCAAAAGGAGATTATAAACTGTTAGAAAGGTAAGTTTTTTCTTAAGTTTCAAAATTCGATTTCTCTTTGATTTTTGGCATTAGTTTTTGAGATTGTATTGGATATTTTTTAGTTAAAAAAAGTGCCAAAATTATCTTAAAAACTCTACTAGATTTTTTAGACGAAAATGTCAGAAATAAAATCGGAACTCTACCAGAATTAAGATTACATGCTCCACAGGGAAATTAAAGCAAGATAAGGAGAGATTTTATCCGAGTGGATACATAAAGTGTAACGACTCCGAAAATCCAAAAGGAAATATATAATAATTTAAGTGTGGAAGCAAAATAAAAAGTTAAAGTTTACATCCCTTACACAATAACTTAAAAGTATTAAATAAACATTACGGAATGAATTCTTTGAAAGAAACACGAGAAATGAGAAAAGCCAAAAAAAAATATAAAGTATCTAGCATTTACTCGCAGTCGTCTTACGGATTGGGCTCGGGAACCAGGTCCTCTTGATCTGAAATAGTTAAATTAAGAATGAGTTACACTAGCCCCAGTAA